TTCCCTTTCTCTCTCTCTTCTGTGTGTGTGTCTTCAGTCAAATTAAAATAAAATGAATGAATAAATAATTCTTTTAAGAATATATATATATATATTGGCTGAGGGGACACTGTCCTTTACCACCCTCAGGATATTGAATTTCTAACAGTCAAGTTGGGTCAGGATCAGTAATTACTAAGGGCAATTTAAGTGTCTTGAGCTAAGAGAAACAAGAAGAAAGTAGTGAAAAAGTGGAGAAAAATGCTTATGGGAGTTGAGAGAGAGAGAGAAACATTCCACAAATAGAACAGACCAGTGCCAAGGGAGGCCAGCAGGTACCATCTCCTTCCCAGGGTCCTCTTTAATCTGTTTTAGATCCTTTGTTTAGTCAAAATACATACCAAGGTTTCCTTGGATTGCTACCTTTTTTTTTTTTTTTTAACTTTTATCAGTTTCCTTTTCATCAATTTTACTAGCATTTATATATTTTAGGATTGTCAGTAAACAAATTTTTGTCTTTCTTTGTTCTTTTTTTATTGTAACTTTTTTTTTAAGAGGTTTTTGCATGTGCGCTTGTCATAAAGCAGACAGAGACAGAGAGGCAGAAATCAAGAAATAATCCCCCCAGGGGGATGGCCACACCATCCCTTCTCCTCCATTCTCCTCTTGGGATCTTGGGCATGTACGCACACACACACCCAACATGAGTTTAAGCCACCAGGTCTGGGACTTGAACCACGGTAGACTATGTGGGAGTCCAGTGACATAGCCATTATGCCAACTGCTGGTCCCAGGATTGCTACTTTTTATCTTTGTTTCCCCATCTTTATTTTGAGAAGTCAGTGAATGTTATAAAGTAAGCAATTCTATGGGCCCTCCTTAGAATTTTCTTAGAAAAGTTATTTTAGAGTAGGCATTGGGATAGCCTTTGTGGGAGAATACAAAGAAGCATAGAAAGTGCACCTTGAAACAAGGGGGAAGAAATTGAAGAACAATGCTACAGTTCACAAAACTACACAGTTGTTAAATGGGCAAGAAACAAGGCTTTTAAGAGCTAAAAGGAAAAAGACTTCATTGTGAACTAGAAAGGGATTTCTTAGAGTAAGATTAGAGCAAGTTTAAAAAACTGGCAGGTTGATAGCTTTGATTAGTCCAGAGAATGACTGAGGACTATAGCTCAGGAGAACAATGTAACAAAACCACAGAACAATAAGATGTATTAGAGGGGCCAGTCAGAGGGTGTAGTGGTTAAGGCTCTGGACTCCCACATGGCCGACTATGATTTGAGGCCTGGGCCTGGCAGCTTGAAAATCACGCTAGGCCAGCAGATGGCATAATGGTTATGTCACTGGACTCCCACATAGTTGACCGCAGTTCAAGTCCCAGGCCCAGCAACTTAAACTTACTCTGGGCACATGTGCGTGTGTGCCCAAGATCTCGAGAGGAGGATGAGGAGAAGGAATTACGGCATGACTATACCCTGGGGAGGGAGGTGATTACTTACTTTCTGTCTTTCTGTCTCTGTCTTTCACATGCCGTATAGCAGAAATCTTCTAAAAAGGAAAAGAAAATCGCTCTGGGCACATGTGCATGTGTGCCCAAAACCCTGGGAGGAAGTTATTGTGGTGTGGCCATCCCCTCCCCTCCCAGGGCGCTGACTTCTTACTTTCTCTCTCAGCTTACTCTCTCTGGTGATCGCATATGCCCTATAACAAAAACCTTTAAAAAGAAAAAAGATGGGCAAACAACGGAAGAGGGTGAGTCTTGATTAGATGATAGCAGGCCTTTAGCTTCAGGGTGAGGAACTGCCAATTAAACTGATTGACATAACTTCTGACAAAGTAGCTGAGCCAGTTGGCAAAGCTTTAACAAATTCAAAGACCCTCAGATACATGCCTTCTCGCCCTCAGGGAGAAACGATCCTGGCTTCAGGATCCTAGCCTAGGAAGAAACAGGCCAAGGAGGGGACCAAGCAGTGGTGATGCAGCTGCACCCACATGAGAAAGACCCTGAGTTTGCATCCATGCTCTCCCTGAGCGTGCTGGACACAAACGTACCTATGATCTGGGCCTCCCCAAACGGGGTGGATTCCAGCATGGGGGGCACCCCTGTGGGGTACCTGTCTCTTTCTTTGGGAAAAAACAGACATGTGAACTGTAAAAAAAGAAAAAGTTCAGGGAACCATAACTCAACTGAGAATCTTCATTTCCCAGTGAAAGAAGTCATTTTGTGCAATGTTCAATTGGATGTAGATTTGCATTACATTACAAAATTATTAAGTGCAAAATTGGCATGTAAATTCCCCAAGCTTTGTCAAGAACAGTTTAATTTCAAAGCTTGATTGAGAAGTGAATTGTAAACTAATATTTTCCTATTTCCCCAAGGATGTATTTTATTTGGTAAACAAAACATCCACATGCTCCTGTCAGAATGTCTTGAGTTGCACAAGTTTAGAACTGAGAGGTCTTTCCCTCTCCACTCACATTCTCCCCTTTGTCAGGACATTTTCAACACAAGGATTCTGATGCACCCACAAGTCCATTATTTGAAGACTTAACATGTAGTTACCAAATCTCCCAGAGTCCATTAAAACATTGGGAACCAGCAGTTAGCATAATGGCTATGTTGCTCGACTCCCACGTAGTCGACCACGGTTCAAGTCCCGGACCCGGTGGCTTAAAACTCATACAGGGCACATGTGCATGCGTGCCCAAGATCCCGAGAGGAGAATGGAGGAGAAGGGATTGTGGCGTGACCATCCCCCCTGGGGGGTGATTTCTCGCTTTCTGTCTCTCAGTCTGTCTGGCAAGCGCACGCGCCCTATAGCAAAAACCTCTCCCAAAAAAAAAAAAAAAAAACATACAGGCGCACAGCTGAGGACTCTAAAAACCACCTCCCTGGTTCTCACTTCTAGCCTGAATCAGGAAAAGAGGAGACACCTGGAAATGTGTCTGACAAGCACAGAAGTGATTCTTACAATCAGTTGGTTACTTGAACCAAGTTCAGCCTGGAGGAGCACGTTTTCCTGAGAAGACCTATAAACAGAATCAGTCTGCGGAGTGCTCAGTTTTCCAGTAAAGAGCAAGGGGCTGGGTAAGGTTGAAAGGAGGTTGGGGGCCAGCAGGTGGTGCAGTGGTTAAGGGCACTGGACTCCCACATGGCCGACTGTGGTTTCACACTTTCCATCTCTCTCTGTCCCTCTCTGGTCAAATTAAAATAAATAATAAAAAAGTTAAATAACTATTTAAAAGAGATTTGACTAAAATGATTAAATTCTTAAAGGATACAGAGTTCTTTGGGGCCTGGGTTTCTTATTTTTCCCTAAAATATGTACATAACTTTGTTGTGAGGAACTATTCTGTGAATCCTGTCTAAAGGCGTTCCTGGTCTCTAACCCCTTTAAATGCTAGGGTACCCCTTCCACTTGACAGAAAAAAAAATCTTGATACTGCCAAACGTCCAGGCCATGGGTAAGGGAAACCAAAGGTCTCCTTGAATGAGGTTATTGGAATAGAAGGAGATAGCGAAGTCAGGACATACAGACAGACCAACAGACGAAAAGCCCATCTACCTTGGAGCAAGTCTGACAGACGCCTATGGGCATATGCTATACACATTAGGCCACCAAGAAACAGGAAGCCAGGGTGGGGTGAGACTGGGGGCTTCCCATCTACACACTAGGGCAAATAAATCCCAGGTTATTCACAGACAGGGTACATCTGTAACACATCCGTAACCAAACCTTATTTTCCCCCTTATACCAAATATTGCATTGAAGGTCTAGTAGGACTATACATTTGAAATCTTCAGGAGCCGACAGGTGGCGTGGTGCTTAAGAGCGCTGGACTCCTAAGACCTACCCAGTTCAAATCCCGGACCTGACTTTTTTTTTTCCCTTTTTCTCCCCTTCGTCACTGTCCTCTCTAGGCCAAATGAAATAAAGCTTAATTCCGTAAAAAATTGTAGTCTCTAGAACTACTTATCTATGAACAGGACTTATGTTGACGGTGACAAGACTGGACTAGAAAAGACACTCTACCCTTAAACCTACAAGTGTGCAGCCGTGATCACACCTTACCCAACCTTCCAGCGAGTGTATACAGCAGCTTTCTCTGAAAACTGAAGTGGCTCTGAAAAGAGCCTTTGGGGTAAAAGAGTTGATCTGTTGCTTCTTTCGTGTACCTTTACTTGGAGCTGGTGTACTTGGTGACCGCCTTGGTGCCCTCAGACACGGCGTGCTTGGCCAGCTCGCCGGGCAGCAGCAGGCGCACGGCCGTCTGGATCTCGCGGGACGTGATGGTCGAGCGCTTGTTGTAATGCGCCAGGCGGGACGCCTCGCCGGCGATGCGCTCGAAGATGTCGTTGACGAACGAGTTCATGATGCCCATGGCCTTGGAAGAAATACCGGTGTCAGGATGCACTTGCTTCAGCACCTTGTACACGTAAACAGAATAGCTCTCCTTTCGGCTGCGCTTACGCTTCTTCCCATCCTTCTTCTGCACCTTCGTTACAGCCTTTTTCGAGCCCTTCTTGGGAGCGGGAGCAGATTTTGCTGGATCCGGCATTTTCTTACAAAAGACGACACACAGCCAGAGAAGAAAACGACTGACTACAGCCAACCGGCCTGGTTGCGCGTACTTATAGAGCTTGTATGCAAATGAAGGCTCGCACAGTACTGCGTTTTTATTGGTAATTTTGTGTTGTGTCGTCATAGGGGCGGAGTCTATGTAAATTGACTCTGGTAGCGCTTCCTTAGTGGTCATTAGAACAAACGTCTTGTTAGCCAATCAAAAAGCTCCATTTAAACTAGCCAGTCAATTGCGGGAAGCAAGTTTCACTACTTTTGCAACATTTTCGCTAGTTTTAACTTTGAATTGCAGACTTCACTTTTAGTCGTAGACGTCTACGCGGAAAAAATCACAAGCGCCTGCTAAACAAGTTTTTTTTACTTACATCATTTTCCTCTATACTTTGTATAAGTTTTGTTTCTTAGAACAGTACAACAGCCCGCACCGTAAAAACAAAGATCCATGTATTTACACCGTCGCTCCTTGAACTATTTTGGTCTGCACCGCCTGTATTATGTAACGTAAGATGTTGAATTATCAATTAATAAATTTAATTGTATCCTTGAACACACCAGTTACTTTCCCCCCCCCCCCGCCCCGCCCTCACGATCTTAATGTCTCTTGCACCCTTGCAGCACTGTCCAGAGTAAACTTAGCTTTCTAAACCTGAACCAACTTTTACAAAGGAGGGTAACTGGTCAATTCAGTAAATGTACCGCATTGGTTGATTCTACGCCTAACACATGTGAGCTTCCCCTGACCTCTGCTTCTACTCACGCCGGGACACAACAGTAACCAGACACCGCTGAAAACTGGTACAGCTGCTCTTGATGAAAAGGTGGGTGGCTCTGAAAAGAGCCTTTAGAAACTGCCTAACAGAGAATGCCTTAAGCCCGCTCCCCGCGTATGCGGCGGGCCAGCTGGATGTCCTTGGGCATGATGGTGACGCGCTTGGCGTGGATGGCGCACAGGTTGGTGTCCTCGAACAGCCCCACCAGGTAGGCCTCGCACGCCTCCTGCAGCGCCATGACGGCCGAGCTCTGGAAGCGCAGGTCGGTCTTGAAGTCCTGCGCGATCTCGCGCACCAGGCGCTGGAACGGCAGCTTGCGGATCAGCAGCTCGGTGGACTTCTGGTAGCGGCGGATCTCGCGCAGCGCCACGGTGCCGGGCCGGTAGCGGTGCGGCTTCTTCACGCCGCCCGTGGCCGGGGCGCTCTTGCGGGCCGCCTTGGTGGCCAGCTGCTTCCGCGGGGCCTTGCCTCCGGTCGACTTGCGGGCTGTCTGCTTCGTACGAGCCATGTTAATTCACTGGGCTTAAACAAAGAGCCGTAGGCAGGGTCCTATTTATAGACATAGACTCGTCTTGATTGGGCCTCTAAAGCTAGGAATTTCCAAACTTGTGCTCTCATTGGTTAGCATTCAATCCTACTTACTGAGCAGAAGAGGGTTAAACTAATCTCTTTTCCCTTTTCCTTTTGGATAATCTTAGCTACTAATATCACATATAAAAAAAAAAAAAAGACTTCTCCCTAAAATTGATGTAACCTTTGTAAAAGCAATTTATTTAGCTTTTTTTTTTTTTTTTTTTTTTTTTTTTTTTTTTTTTTTTTTTTTTTTTTTTTTTTACTTATTTCATATTTTAACAGTTTCCTTCCGGATACAAGAGGGCCTTGGACAAATAGTTTTCTTTCAGCCTGTTTCAAGTTACCTGTTTGTGACTTCTCCCATAGCTAACGTTTATTTAGCGCCTGGCACTGTCTCAGCGTTTTAGATGGACATCACCACTGAAGCTTAACCAAACAATAATTCAATTGAAGAACTCAAAACATTTACCTGACTTCAGACTAGCCAAAGTTTTTCATTTCCAGTGTCCTGACCACACTAACTTAGAGCCTCTGACTTTTATCCTGTTCCCCTTGGGATGCCGATCGTCTTCCTCAATTCTCCATCAATGAATGGCCACGTAGTCCAGCAAATTAAATACTTCTAAGTAAAGAAAAACAGGACTAGAAATACTGATTTCACCTTTACAATAGGGAATAGTTTTGAAATACTCGAGTGCTTATCAGCTGGACTAAAAGGTAAAATAAGGTTTCAAAGAAAGTAAGCTATTTGTTGGTTACTGGGTCACTTACGTATTTTCTTCAATAAAGTGTTTTCTAATGCTTAAAAGTCTAATATTTTCTGCTTTCTACAAGGAGAGAAGATCCTTTGCCTTTCAGTTATTTCATATACGTTGAAGTCAGAAAGACAATGGTTCTATAAAAGTGCTGCCAATACTTAAAAGTTGTACTAGTTAATGTAAAATTTAATTATATGTGTATTTTATTGAAAAAGCATTGCATACAAACCTTGTGAAAACTCAAACCTGAGAACAAAAGTAGGCTCAAGAAACTTAACATTGTCAATCTGAATGATCATCTTCCCACTAAAGTAAAAGCAAAGTGAAAGTGATTTCTTTTTTTTTTTTGGAGAGGTTTTTGCTGTAGGGCGCGTGCACTCCCGACAGACAGAGAGAGTGATTTCTCACTTTCGGTGTCTCCACTGAGCACATGCAACCTTATAGCAAAAATAAAAATCTCAAATAAATAAGAGATTATATATGCCAAATATAAAACCTGTTATCATTAATAACCTTCATTTTTTTAATCCTTCAAAGTATAAAAAAATATTTATCACCAAAAACTGCTTAGAGAGGAAAAAGTCAGTAAACCGTATTTTTTTTTTTTTTTTGAGATGTTTTTCACTATAGGGCGCATGCGCTCGCCAGACAGACAGAGAGAGACAGAGAGACAGAAAGCAAGAAATCACCCCCCAGGGGGGATGGTCACGCTGCAATCCCTTCTCCTCCATTCTCCTCTCGGGATCTTGGGCACGCACGCACACGCGCCCGGCGTGAGTTTAAAGCCACCGGCTCCGGGACGTGAACCGCGGTCAACTGCGTGGGAGTCCAGTAACATAGCCATTACGCTAACTGCTGATTCCCACCCAATGAAAGTGATTTTTAAAGTGGTTTCCTAATGTTAAGACTCAGTAAACAGTATCCCAAAATATGATGCTGCCCTATTGAATGAAAGAAAAAACTTCAGAACAAGGATCTCTCTTTGAACTCTCTTGCTCCCTTTGTCTGATCCTAGTTTTTCTCCAAAAGTGCAAGGAAAGGCTTTATTCTGATATTCCATTACCTACTGAGGACCAGATCCACCAAGGAAGAAAATAATCACTTCAGGCCCCTCCCTGAAGCTTGATTAAGTTAACCCATATCTCAGGAAGGAAGACTGAGGAATGTCAACTCTCCTGGACAGATTTTTGTCTTGAGCTATTGTCCATCTGTAAGGCCCATTCAATTCCCAAGGAGAGGCATTTACTAGCCATTATCTGAACATTGGACCCATTCATTTCCCCATCTCCTTCTCCCCTGTGAGGGTGTTATTCAAGCCTCAGCCTTCGGGCTACTCCTTAAAATCATATGTGTGTGGGTCCCATGCATGTGTTAATGTTAAATTTGTACGTCTTTTTTTTTTTCCCTATTAATCTATTGTCAGTTATGTCATAAACTAAAATGATTGTGCTATCAAGGGGAAAGAGAAAATTTTTAAAGTACTCTTACCATGAACACTAAACACAATGTAGAAATTTGTTGGCTTAATTCATTTCTCCAAGAGTTCCTCATGGGCAGAATCCCCCTACTCTAGGGTGATGTAAAATGTCATACAAAAGTGTAACAGAAGTGAACTAATGTTATCCTTTTCTGTGATAGTTTTGTAATAATGCCTTACATATCGATAGCACAACCCAGTGTTTAAAATTTCTTCTACAGGGACCAGAAGATAGTGTAACGATTATGTCACTGGACTCTCACTGTAGGCAATCGCAGTTCAAGTCCTGGACCAGGTGCTTAAAACTCACACTGGGCGTGTGTGCCTGTGTGCCCCAAATCCTGAAAGGTGACTAGAGGAGAAGGGATTATGGCATGGCCATTCCCCATTGAGGGGGTGATTTCTCACTTTCTGTCTGTGTCTCTTTGTCTCCTTGGAGAGTGCATACGCCGCCCTATAGCAAAAATCTCTCAAAACAGTTTTCTTCTACATATTCTATATTTTTTAACCCCAATTCTGAAGTAGATGTTACTTTCTTCATTTTTCAGATAACAAAACGGAGTCTCAGAGAAATCATTGGCTTGTCCTGGATATATAACAAAGCCTACACAATATTCAAAGGCAAAAGAGTGAAATTATAATGAGACAATGTCCTATTTCATTAGACTTAGGGCATACATTTTAAAACTAGATGCATTTCTCATCATACAACTGAATTATCTAATGTTTGTCAGGCTCTCCTCTGAACTATTCCCATCGGAAGGAGAAACTACCCTGTGGAATCTGGCTGATAGCCCAGGACAGTCTACTCAACTGTCACATTTCTTTATAATACTCTCTCTTTCTTTTCATTCTTTCTTTCTTTCTTTCTTTCTTTCTTTCTTTCTTTCTTTCTTTCTTTCTTTCT